AGCTACGGTACGCGTGCGCGCGAAATATAGACCCGAGTTCCGACAGTCGGACCGCGGCCACGGAGGTGTATGCGCGGTTCTATGTGTGTCATGATTATTGCCCATTAAATTATCTCGCGCATGTTGCGCACGTTGCGCGCGCTCTACTACGATCACCGCCGACTGACACACGCCGCGCGCGAATGCATGCGAATGCACGCGTTGCTGCTTGCACACACGGCGCATCGCCACACGCGACGCCTCTTATGCATTTTATCGCATTATTGTGTATTATGCATTTTATATCCGCCAATGCGTACATTGTATGCTCCCTGTCCTATGAGCTGCATTGTACATTGCACCTCGTATACATGTTATGTAGAACGCACAGTGTGGCGTTATGTGCACTGTGTATTTTACATTCTGTTCACTATATGTTGCGCGTTGTATTTTGTGCATTGTATTTTGTGCATTGCACCCTTTGCTTGCATTTCGGAAATTGCAAAAATTCGACCCCCGTTGTTGGACGAATTCGGACACAATTTCCGTACGAAATACAACGAGACGGCAACAACCACGCGCATGTCAAAGTATCTGTACTAATTCTGAAGAAGAAATTCGAATCTACAAGCCCGTGTAAATTTCATACGCAATAAAAATCTTTCGAACTGCACACGAGCCTGCGAAACATTTCCTTGAACACGCCGTCTTTGTTCTTTCACCGTTTGCCTATCCAAAAGCATCTGTATACACAAAAATCTGTGGCCATGAGGAAAAATACCGCAAGTCACAATTCCAAAAAATGTTATATTATATCGTAAGTTAACGCATTCATTGCACTATAGCATAAAGGATTCACGTATTTATTAGGAAAAAAAGGACGTCGTGAAGACAAATGCTATAAACTCGAAATAAGAAATGCAATTTGAAACACTACTAACACGAAGCATTAGCGATCAGAACTTCAAACGACCATATCTCGGAGGTGGAAACATGTGACCTGCGGCGTTCATCCTTGCAGCAACAGAAACGACTGACACGACAAATGAAAGAAAATCGGTTCTTTACTCTATTAACCCCTTGATGTGCCATTTTCTTCACAGTCACTGCGATCAGAAATCCTTCAGTTGCAATAATTTTTTAGAAGGAGAAGAAAATTGATGTTTACAGTGTGCCTAAATTCACATGAATACTTAAATATCGATGACAAAAGATCAGAATTTTATTCCAATTTTAACGGACCGAATAACATTTATGTTTAACAAGCTATTACCAGAAATTTACGTGACGAGTCGGCCTCGTCAAAGTACGGCAAGGGGTTAAATACGGTAATGTCTCCCTTACTGACGCTCGGATTGTCCACTAAAATGGACAATTTGGGAAGAGGAGATACAATTATTCGAGCCTCGCGGCTCGTTTTTTTAATTTTGGACAATTTATAACTATAAAAATAAACCGCAAGGCTCGAATGATCGTATCTTCTCTTCCTAAACCGTCCATTTTTGTGGTCAATCTGGGCGTCAATTAGAGAGACATTACTGTAAACCTTCCAATTTGTCGCAGAAAGTCAGAATAGCTTGAAAACTGCCGATACTCTCTGTCTCGGCCGCGATCGTCGGTGTATTTTGGAAACACCCTGTACGCGTCCGACACGATGCATCTAGGTATCGCGCGCACGTATGCGCGTTTATTCGCAGCCAGACCGGCTCTCTATCTGTGTATCCCTCTCTCGGCCGACAACAGCTCCACAGAAGCACGTCAATAACCCGTTGCCGCCTCGACGTGCTGCATATAGCGCGTTTAGCGCACATCGCACACATTGCACACATCGCACATGTGATCCTCGCAAGCGAGCGAGCGCACGCACACGCTCGCACACGCGCGCACACCCCCGATGCTTTTTTTATGAAACGAGTTTCGGGGGCTTTCACCTGTTTCCACAGAGCTTCGCGATCCTCCACCCGGGGAGAGACCGGCACGAAGAGGACCGCGCTCAGGTTTCTCTCCGCGTTTCCATCACGCACGCTCTGCCCGCCCCACACCCTCGCACATCCTTGTCCACTTATTTTCCTTTGCCTCACCCTTCGCGTATTTCATCGCGGATTATTAAATACCATTGTAAATCGGGGACCGTCGGGAACACAATAGCGACAGGAGCTAATGGGGGTGGAATGCGCGATAATTACTAAATCGAGGGCTTTTATGAACACATGGCACGCGATCATCTTCGACAAACCGAGAAGTTCACGCGTTGCGACCTCGCGCGAAAATTCCAGTACGGTACAACCAATTCTGTTTTTGCGCGGTGGATACGTTTCAGAAGAAAACCGTGTACAGTGATGTCTCCCTTACTGACGCTCAGATTTTGTCCACTAAAATGGCTAATTTGGGAAGAGGAGATACGATTACTCGAGCCTTGCGGTTTATTTTTATAGTTACAAATTGTCCAGAATTATAAAAATGCGCCGCGAGGCTCGAACAATCGTGCCTCCTCTTCACAAATTGTCCATTTTCGTGCACAATCTGAACGTCAATTGGAGAGACATTACTGTACGCAGAAAAGGACAATTTGGGAACAGGAGATGCGATTATTTGAGTCTTGCTCCTCGTTGTTTATAATTGTTGACAATCGGCAACTATATAAATGCGCCTCAAAACTCGAAAAATCGTGTCTCCTTTTCCCAAATTGTCCATTTTAATGTCCCCCTTACTGACGCTCAGATTGTCCACTAAAATGGATAATTTGGGAAGAGGAGATACGATTGTTCGAGCTTTGCGGTTTGTTTTTATAGTTATGAATTATCAACGATTATAAAAATGAGCCGCAAGGCTCGAACAATCGTATCTCCTTTTCCCAAATTGTCCATTTTAATGTCCCCCTTACTGACGCTCAGATTGTCCACTAAAATGGATAATTTGGGAAGAGGAGATAAGATTACTCGAGCCTTGCGGTTTATTTTTATAGTTATAAATCGTCCACAGTTATAAAAATGAGCCGCAAGGCTCGAACAATCGTATCTCCTTTTCCCAAATTGTCCATTTTAATGTCCCCCTTACTGACGCGCTGATTGTCCACTAAAATGGATAATTTGGGAAGAGGAGATACGATTACTCGAGCCTTGCGGCTCGTTTTTATAATTCTGGACAATTTATAACTATAAAATTAAACCGCGAGGTTCAAATAATCGCATCTCCTCTTCCCAAATTGTCCATTTTCGTGCACAGTCTGGACGTCAATTAGAGAGACATTACTATACATAGAAAAACGGTCTCACCAGCCCTAAATGTATCTAGAAAATCGCGGTTAATGGAAATAATTGTCCGCAACGTTTCGATCGAATGATTTTTGATAATCGCGCTGAATCTCGAATGAAACCGCGTGGGAAAAGAAAATTGAATTAATTTCTTTCGGCCATGATACGTCAAAATCGTGCAAAGAAATACCGTGTAAAGACAGGATTGAGTGAATTTTAATGGGCCGATGCATAAGTTCGTGCGGTGTTAATTTCGATTTAAATATGCCGCATAACGATTGACTAACGATTATGCCTCACACGTCACTCTACAACTTCGACAACTTCTCTCCTGCTGTGCGATTGTTTACCGAAATCGTTCCGTGAGAGTAATAAGGTGACGAATATTTTGTAAACTACGGGATATCATCAAGGTAACAAGAGTAAACATCTCGAGAATGAATGGTAGTAGCGAACGTGTAATACTGTAAACAGAGTGTGGAATATGCGCTATGTTATATTATATTACATTCAATAATATTGTACAATATCTGCTTAGAAATCCGCCATTCCATGCGCGACAACCGAATAAATCACAATCTAAACGTGCCAATCTTCCAGCAAATACAGTTATGTCTCCCTAACTGACGCTCAGATTTCTCCATAAAAAGTGGAAAATTCAGGAAGAGAAGATACGATATTATTCGAGCCTTGCGGTTCGTCCTTATAGCGACGAATCGTCAACAGCTATAAAAACGGGCTGCAACAAGTCTCGAACAATCGTATCTCCTCTTCTGAAATTGCCTATTTTTGCGGACAATCTGAGCATCAATTCGAGAGACATTATCGTAGATTGCGTTACAAACTGTACAATCGCATTCGTTGATATTAGAAATGCTTACGTTGCCGCGGAACTAATAAAGAACATGGATCGACGAGATCGCGATTCTTTATAGCTCGAAAGGACCCCCACCGATGGACGAGGAAAGCAACTGGTAGGTGACAGTACATTGCGGAGCCGGGGACACTTGATTCGAGAGCCGGCATAGACGGTGTTACCGTGCACACGAAAACGGGGCCAGAAGTTGTTGTCAACGAGAAGAAAGAAAATGGCCCCTCGACAAACGGAAATCGCGAACACGGCGAATTATTGAACCGTGGCGTGCGCCGGACACACGTTCTCCGCGTGTTGCACGCGTGTTCGTGTGTGTATGTGTCCGTGTGTGTATGTGTGTCCGTGTGTGTATGTGTGCCCGTGTGTGTGTCCGTCTCTCTCTCTCTCTCTCTCTCTCTCTCTCTCTCTCTCTCTGTGTGTGTGTGTGTGTGTGTGTGTGTGTGTGTGTGTGTGTGTGTGTGTGTGTGTCAGCGTTCTCGCGTGACCACGCGAGAGGAGAGCACGTATCGGCGGGAACGAGAAGAAAAACAGAGAGGAACAATGGCCGGGCGGCGGTAAACGCATTTGAAAGTCGTTCGAGCGTGCGGGCGTGCATGCGAAATGCGTCGCGGCCGAGCGAAGTTGGTAAAAACGGTTGATCGAGAACGATCGCGAGAGAGCGATCGTAAACTCAACGGCGCCGGCAACGAGGAACGCGATCCGGCCGGTTGCGTGACAAAAATCTAATTGGATAGCGCGACGTTAAAACGCTCCGATCTTATTGCCCGTGCGCCGACACTGCAATTAGATGCACTGGTCGGGCAGCGATAAACGCTGGCCCTCGGGGCAATTCCGGAGCCCGGTGACGTCACAGAACGAGTCCGCAGATAATGTTGAACGTAATTAGCGATTACCTGCGACATTGTGTTGATGATGATTATATGTAAGAGGAACGGAGTGTAATGCCCTGGCGGACCATTTTCTATGTCTGGAGTCCTCGTCGTCGTCGTCGGCTTGCTGTCCATCCTCCCCTAGGAAGTGCACCTTCTCGTACCTGTCCAGGTACCTGTAACAACGAAATCGATCGGATCTGCTTCTCCTGTAATTCCGAGCCTTCGTGTCACACGAACACGCTTTTCGCAGGAAATTAACGAGAAATTCATTCGACTTTTCGTCGCGACACGAACGTTCCACTTGGTTGGACCAATTTCTGTTTACTAAATTAATTTATGCGGGCACAATAGCGGTAATATACGACGATTCTCAACAACGCTTGATGGACGCGAGAATGAAAATTGAAAATTCCTGAAGACGTGCGGGGTCGAATGGCAATCAGAGGCGAGTCGTTGACCCGGAACGTTTGCGTAATTTCCTTCTATATGGTCATGTTTATAATATTAATGTTAGACTGCGGACCTCTTTATGCAAAATGAAAATTGTATTTGTGAATCGTGACAACCAGTTGTCAAGGTAGAATGCTCTTCTTTTAACAATTTTAACGACTTGAAAATAATATAATGACACTTGTTAATTCCTTTTAATCTGACTACGGTTTTAAAATTGACTTAGTAATTTTTATCATAAATGCATAAAATCCACAGTCTAATTATTATTTTTATCAAATCTTATTTTAAACTGACGTGTATTACTCTCATTTCCGATAATAAACCATCCTACATTTGCACAAATGGTAGTTTGC